GGATATCGGGATTAATGTTTGATCCACTCTTCTTGATTAAATGATGCTTGTTCTCCTCATGTTATTAATCTCCAGATTAATTAACCGATCGGGATTATGGCTATCCCATTCAGATAGCTTGATAACGATATCCTCTGCGGGCACTTTTAATTTGAGGATCAATGCGTGATTACTTTATTTCTGTTATTCCTGCAGGGTATGATTATCACTGGATGTCGAATGAAGATTAAAAATCTGCAGATTTTTAAAAGATTAAGAATTGATCTCGATTTCCACATACAAGAATATCCCCTCTCTTCAGTTTACTAGATAAGATAAGATAAGATAAAGTTTATTGCTAAGATACATGTATCTGTGTACAGAACGAGTTTACAATTACAAATTGATGATTATATTAACAGTACAAGTATAAAGCAATTAGGTGGAAAATAGCTCTTGACTGTTTTGATTATTTTTTCCACCTAATTTTAATAATATACCTGTCTGCATATCTATATATATATTATCGTTGGATGGATCCCATGTCAGGCTTTGACAACCGTCTTGTGTTTACATTACCGCCCAGAGACAGTACACTGCAGTACAAAAGATGTGTACACTTCTGAAATAACTTTCCTTGCATTACATCCTCGGCAATGAAGTGCTCCAGTGTGGTGTACACACATTACTGATATTACAACACAGTTTGTAAAAAAAAACATGAACAAACTATTACTGAACTCTAGCAGACGGATTAAACTTTTTCTAGTAGGCATTACCGTATCTAAATAAAAATCATTCACAAATACGATATCAAAATCGTCACTGAATTCCCATGTTTATTGGGACACCGTGTACCTACTAAAATTAATTAAGTTGTGCAACTTTTTTTCTGATAAACTGTTTGTCCTTAAATACGTATTTAATATTAAAGACAATCATGTATAGCCTTCTCTAAACTTTCATGTTTAGTCGTCTCTATACTTTCATGTTTAGTCGTCTCTAATCTTTCATGTTTAGCCTTCTCTAAACTTTCATGTTTAGTCGTCTCTAAACTTTCATGTTTAGTCGTATCTAATCTTTCATGTTTAGCCTTCTCTAAACTTTCATGTTTAGTCGTCTCTAATCTTTCATGTATAGCCTTCTCTAAACTTTTATGTTTAGTCGTTTCTAAACTTTCATGTTTAGTCGTCTTAATCTTTCATGTATAGCCTTCTCTAAACTTTCATGTTTAGTCGTCTCTAAACTTTCATGTTTAGTCGTCATTAAACTTTCATGTTCAGTCGTCTCTAATCTTTCATGTTTAGTCGTCTCTAAACTTTCATGTTTAGTCGTCTCTAATCTTTTATGTTTAGCCTTCTCTAAACTTTCATGTTTAGTCGTCTCTAAACTTCTTGTTCAGAGGTTCACCTTGTGTATAATTCGTCCCTTTCACATTTTATGTCTAACAATGATCAAACATATAAGGCAAACAATAATTCTTTTTAAAGGGACTGTTTGCGTGATTATATGTGACCCTCCATCCATGCAAATAAACAATCCTTGGTTTACTACGCTACACATAAGCTAACACATTAATCTAATCAAAGTCTGAAAGATTATGTCCGACTGGAAAAGTGTAAAAATAAACTTGCAGAGCTTATTTATACGTGATCTAACAAAGCTGTTGAGAGTACTTTTGTAAATCCGGCATTGCCATACTTGCATGAAGGGTCACTTGAAATTACGATTACATCCCCTTTAACATTCCTTTCTACGATGAATCAT